ATATATATATATATATATATATGGCCTTCAATAAATAAGCTCCATGTCCACTCTGGAAGAGCCTGGCAAGCTACCCGTGAGTATACCCAGCCCAAACGTTCAGAGCCCAGCATGCTATACGTGGGTGTCAAAAACGTTAAACACAGTAAAAAAGAAAAAACGGGCCCCATTCCCCTGAACCCGAAGGCGCCCCCAATTTCGCAGCGTTAGGTAGGACGAGTACGGAGAGGCTACTAAAGTCTCAGGACCAATGGAAGCTGCCTGGATTTGAAAAAACTATGGTGACGTTCTCTACCTAAAATGCACGTACACTTACATCCGAGTCCTCGATAGAGGACTTGCTCACACAAGCAAGAAGGATGAGGTACGACGTCATCGGCCTGGCCGAGACGAGAAGACCCAAGCCTTTCAACGCTGTCTATGACACCGGAAAAGAACTATTCCTCGGAACATGCGACAGCAGAGCAGTCGGCGGCGTCGGCGTTCTCGTCAACACGAGTTTGTCCATGAACATCGATTCATTCGAACAACTTAAAACGCAAGTCGGACGTTTACGATTAAGAAGACGTGGACCAATTCCGGCTTTGACAATCTTCGTCGTGTATGCGCCGACATCAAACTATGACGAAGAAGAAGTCGAAGCGTTCTATATGGACTTGGAGAAGTTCTACAGAGAAGACCACACATTCTTCAAGGTCATCATTGGAGATATTAACGCCAAGAATGCACCAAAAAGGACGCCTGAAGTGGAAGCCACGAATTAGAATGGAACGAACAGGATGAGTGGCTGTCTGAGTTTATCATGCGACCAAGACCATTTATGGCAACTCGCAATTCCAGGAGCTCCAACCTCAGCGCTGGACGTGGGAGTCTCCCAATGGAGAGTACCATAACGAAATAGACCACATCATAGTAAATAGGTTTTGCCTAACCGATGTCGCTGTTGTCCCAAAATTCTACACGAGATCAGACTATCGTCTCCTTCGTGGAAGACTCTATTTCTCGCGAAGAGGAAAAAAAGCCGTTAAATTCCAAAACCGAAGTCTCAGAACCACCGCAAACTGGGACTTATTCAATTCATTAGTCGGCTGTTTGGAAGATGTCGTTGTAGATAACATCGACGGATAGTGCGATCGGCTCATTCAACATCTTCACGTTAGCGCTATGAAAGCTGAGTTTGAAAGAAACCAAGGCACGTTTGTCTCCAGAAACACTCGAGCTGATACGCCAGCGTGGAATCGTACGAGCTGCAGGCAGCCTCGAACTAACGTTCGAACCTGCAAAGTAATGCAGACAGGCAATACAAGATCTTAAAGAGAGAAGAGCAGCGGTAATGGTCAAAATTGCAGAGGTTGGGAAAAACATTCGCAAAGCCCACCGAAGCTTCGCCAATTACAAGAGAAAATGATTGCACTCCGGCTCCCAGAAGGAACAGTTACAGCGTCCAGAAAGGCAACGGAGAAAATCATTCAGGAATACTACTCGGATCTTTTCGATAACAACGTCTACCTTCCTTCATACGAAATAAAGGAAGGTGGATATGTTGTACCACCGGTTCTCCTTTCCGAAATCCGACATGCTAATTTATCGGTGAAAAACCGAACAGCGCCAGGTCCCGATAGGATTAGATTTTAAAACTTGAGGAACCTTCCACCATCCTCCTAAACACACTGGCTCCGCTCTTCACACGTTACCTGCCTAAATTCAAGGTCCCTACTCAGTTGAAGACCAGCAAGATCGTGTTATTGTTCAAGAAGGGTGACCTACACGATAACGGCAACTATCGCACAAACTGCTTACTGTCTGTCGTTTACAAACTTTTCACTCGAGTCCCCCTAAACAGGATTTACAGAACACTAGACGAAGGACAGCCATGTGAGCAAGCAGGGTTTCGAAAAGGATTTAGTACGATCGACCACATTCACAGGATAACAAGACTCATTGAAGTATCGCGAAAGTACAAAAAACCGCTCTGTCTCACTTTCATCCATTTACAGAAGATTCAGTTGAGATAGAAGCAGTTTTGGAAGCCCTTGATAGTCAAGGAGTCCCTACTCAGTACATAAAGATCCTTCGTTAGCTGTACAAAAATTTCACAACCAAGATATCACAATTCTACAACGATGTTAACATTGACGTAAAAAGAGGAGTTAGGCAAGGAGTTCTCTCGCCAAAATTATTTACCGCCACACTCCAGAACGTCATACGAACATTGGAGTGGGATAACATGGGAGTAAAAATCGATGGTCTGTAGTCACACCACCTTCGCTTTGCTGATGAGGTCGTCCTTACGACACAAAACATTAGTCAAGCGGAACGTATGCTTGCCAACTTTGATAGGGCCTATAGAAAGATTGGTCTTCGACTAAATCTCAGAAAAACGATATTTATGAAATATGAATTGGTTTTGCATGCCCCATTCACGCTCAACGGGACTAATATCTCCGAATGCTCCAGTAACATCTATATAGGTGGGGAAGTCAATATGATGAACGACCTAGCTCCAGAGCTGAGCAGAAGGAAACGAGCGGCTTGAGGAACTTTCAAGAGCATCGAGGATGTAGTGAAGAGAACAAAGAACACCTGACTCCATGCCCACCTTTTTGACTCAACGGTACTTCCTACCCTAGCGTTTGAGTCATAAACCTGGTGGCTGCGTAAACAGGAGGGAAAATCACTCAGCGTTAGTGAACGCGCAGTCGAAATGACGATGCTAGGAGTATCTCGTTCCACACAAGTAAGGGATGGGATCCGAAGCTCCGATCTGCATCAACGATCAAAAATCAAAGATGCCGTTCTGTACGCCAAACAGTCGTAAATAAAGTGGACCGGATTCGTGATGCGTATCAATGAGAACCGATGGAGAAGAGCTGTAAGTAACTAGATTCCTCGGGATATTAAACGCACCTGCAGGAAGACCACCGACTCGATGCTCAGAGTTGCTCACGAAAAGCCTGGAAAAAAGATAGGATGCTCAACGAGTCCCTAGAGCGAGCAGAACCCACTGGGTTACTCTTGCACGCGGTAGGGAAAAATGGAAGATTTACTGGCGCCCGCTCGAGTCACTCGACGATTAACGGGGCTACAGGTTATACAGGTGATATAGGTCGCGTGCAAGAGTAGCCCAGTGGGTTCTGCTCGCTGATAGAGACTCGTCGAGCATCACATCTTTCTTCAAGGCTTTTTGTGAAGTACTCTGACCATCGGGTCGGTGGTCAGAGTACTTCACAAAATGAATTGAATAACTCCCAGATTACGGTGGTTCTGAGACTTCGATCTTAGAATTTAGCAGCTTTTTCTTCTCTCCACGAGAAATAGAATCCTGCAGAAAGGAAACGAAGGTCTGATCACGTGTAGAATTTTGGAACAACAGCGACATCGGTTAGGCAAAACCTTCTATTTACTATGATGTGGTCTATTTCGTTATGGTACTCTCCATTGGGAGACTCCCACGTCCAGCGCTGAGGGTGGAGCTTCTGGAATTGCGAGTTGCCATGGATTGTACTGGTCGCCATGATAAACTTAGATAGCCGCTCACCCTGTTCGTTCCATTCTAATCCGTGGGTCCCAATGTGACGTTCTTCAAACGTTTTTCTCGGTCCAGTCTTGGCGTTAATATCTCCAATGATGACCTTGAAGAATGTGTGGTCTTCTCTGTAGAACTTCTCCAAGTCCATATAGAACGCTTCGACTTCTTCTTCGTCATAGTTTGATGTCGGAACGTGAACGAGGAAGATCGTCAAAGCAGGAATTGATCCATGTCTTCTTAATTGTAAACGTCCGACTCGGGTTGCAAGTTGTTCGAATGAATCGATGTTCATGGACAAACTCGCGTTGACGAGAACGCCGGCGCCACAGACTCCTCTATTGTCGTATGGTCCGAGGAACAGTTCTTCTCCGGTGACATAGACGGCGTTGAAAGGCTGGCGTCTTCTCGTCTCGGCCAGGCCGATGGCGTCGTACCACATCCTTCTTTCTTGCATGAGCAAGTCTTCTATCGAGGACTCGGATGCAAGTGTACGTGCATTTTAGGAAGAGATCGTCACCATAGTTCTTTCAAATCCAGGCAGCTTCCATTCGCCCTAAGATTTTAGCAGCCTGTCCGCACTCGTCCTACCCAACGCTACGAAATTGGGTGCTCTTTCAGAGTCGGGGGAATGAAACCCGTTTTTCTTTTGCTGTGTTTAGCTTTTTTGATACCCACGTCTAGCTTGCTAGGCTCTGAAAGTGGGGGCTGGGTATACTCACGGGTAGCTTGCCAGGTTCTCCCAGAGTGGGCATGGAGCTTATTTGTTGAAGGCGACTCCTAACCGCCTCGCATATACTTCCTAGTCACTTGATTGCAGGATTTTGGCCGAATTGACCTAGAATACAATCCGCATAAGCAAGAACGCACCCACACACACGTGCATAAATACGCCTAGCAAATACAGGAATTATGTGCCAAATGAGCGCAGCAGAAACAGGGAGTCCATTTCCTGGGTCCACCTACGTCTCAGGGAAGCAAAGGTCGCTTTTGGTCCGCGATTAACCCCTATCCGCCACCTGGGGACGCGACACGTAGCCTCTCGACTAACCGGCCCTGGTTCCTTCATACGAGTGAGATCCTGCTTTCAAGGATAATTACGAGTACATGTACGTATATGCATCGAAATTGTTGCTTTTCAGACCGGTGATGCGATCCTGTACGCGATCGGAGAGGAGAACGTTGAAGCGGTCGAGATCATTGTTGAGCACTTGGAGAAAATCGACAAATTCAATCCCGAAGTAGTTTTTTCTTTGTTTGCAGCTAGACATACAGGAGATTTGAGAGCATGACGGGCCTCAGAGCTAAACTTCTTTGGGGGCACCATGAAACGTACGTGCTTATAGAACGCTTCCACCTTTACAGAACCAGGGTGTCGAAATCAACGAGCACTCAGCTTTTACGCCTGACATGACCCCGATTATACTCGCAGCACATAAGGTTTGTGTGGTATTCTGGAGGAAATTTGGCTTAAGTGTTATGATCCTGCTTTCAAGGATAATTACGAGTGCATAAAGCTTTTTCTGGACAAGAAGAGCACAGTGCCACACCCACATGACATCCACTGCTCTTGTCAGGACTGTGTAACGGTAGGTTCAACGATTCTTCTTCCTTAGAACAATCGAATAAAATTGCAGTTGTTATGAATTGTTTGAACTGCAAGTAGATTCTGCAGTGTTACCTCTAAAATGTACACGAATGCTTAGAAAAAAAGCGAAAAGTAATGGATATCATTAGTGAATATTCATTCTCTTCTAATGGAAAAGTAGGTTTATAATCACATTTAGTGATAGAATAGAACGTTTGATAGGATTAAGTCAAAACCTAAACTGAACCAACTTCATCAGGGCTGTAAGAACCATAAAAATGAGAAGATACTTGCTAAGTCGTAATACCTAATAGTGTACCTCTGGCCTCCTCCGGAAGCTCAAACACGAAAACAAACACGAAACACGAAGTTCGATGGAAACTGTAATATCACAAGTGCGGTCTAAATCCTCAAAGATTTGTTTCCTGAAACAGAATAGGTGCTAAGACACATCAGGAATTCGATTGCAAATGAATAACCAGCTTCTGTGATTTCTAGTTTTTTATACCTTATCCTTATTGCACTGGATTCTGGAATTCCCAAATTATGGCAAATGTAGCCTGTAGAGATGAAGAGCACATTATGCAGGACATCCTAGCTTCTGCAAGCTCATCAGCTTATCGCTGTCCACATCGTGAAATTACGATGCTGTTAGGGTGACATTTCCAAGGTGGAAATCGAAGAAGGGACTCGGACCTTTCGGCAGGATATCTGTATAGCATGCTAATCGCTGATTCGATTTCTTTATTTTTATTGTTGTGCTTGTATTTTACGTCTAATACGAAACATTTCTCACCATCGATAATCGTTGAGACAAAGGAGAACAAATTCGTGACAGATTCTTCGAAGACTACAAGAAGTCAACATAAATGTAGATTTCAGTTCTATGTATGCTCGAAACGTATATACTAGCGTTTTACTGAGTTTTGAGCGCACATTATCTACTATGGTAAAGAAAGTTTCGTTATTACGCACAATTGATTAGTCCCCTCAAAGGTTTACACCTCATCGTGGCTGGGAGGTCTTCCTGGGTGTCGGGCTGTCGGGGGATGTGCATCGGGAGGATTGATTCCCGGCAGGGTCTCCGAGCTGGGAGAAGGAGTCCGGCGTTTCTGCCATGAAGCCCAACTAAGGATAAACCAATATCACGACCCACCACCGCCCTGGTATCAAACTAGTCGCATGGTGGGAAACCTCCTTCTGCTCCACACGGACGGCGACTGCTTGTGGTGATGACGACCTCGGTCGAAACACAGTGGCAAAATCATCAAAACCCCGAAAAATGGTGATTATGATGAAGTCCGCACAAGTAGAGATGACAGGCAGGCTAAGTAAATATCGAAGTAATGATTAGCCTATATACGGTTCTTGAAGTAAACTCTTTCAAAAAACAAAAATGAGTTGAAGTATGGTTAAGTTTAAGCATTTTCCTCTAGTGATTTGCAACTTATAGGCCCGTGAGGAGGATTCGTTACGATTGTCTCGATCGAGAATCAACGCGTACCGTGCTTTGACGTCCCCTTCGCTGATTTGCCTTTCGGCCAAGGATCCTATTCTTTATGCTTTCGAATTATCATGGGAACTTAGACGGCTGTCCTACATCGAAAACGAGTTCCGATCCGAATATCAGGTAGGTGGTAGAGTAAGTTTGTGTCAAGAAATCAGGAATTTTTATCACCTTCTTTACTTTTTCTCAAGGAATTGTCGCAGAAATGTCAGAAGTTCTCAGTCAACATGCTGGATCAAATACGAGGTTCAAAAGAATTGGAGATAGTTCTCAATCACACCACAAACGCTTGGCAGGAGGTTCATCTTCTAATGACATTCTTTGATTCCCTTGGTTAGTCATCCATAAAAGTGTACGACCTCGATTAAAAAGAGAGTATACAAGCTGTATCGCTGTGAGGTACTCAAAGCGTAACCTATTATTAACTCTCTACCAAAGAGCTTATCTAAGAGGAATATATTTATGTACCTAAAAAGAGGTTCAGGAAGTATGTGTTGTAGTGGAATTGTGATGATGTCAAGAATTTCATGTCAATGACTCCATCGGTCTTTCATATTGACAAATAAAGGAGGAATAATTAGAGGACACCTACATCTGAATGCTTTCGGTCTTTCAGGTCACTACACGAGGGACGTCAACCACTGAGCAACTGGCTCGACTGAAACTCGCCATAAAATTAGGGCAGAAAAGGGTCCGTTTTCCATGGGATCACAAAGTTCAAATTTTCGTAATTCAACCACAACGTTGCTGAGATATTTGCAAAACTCTGGACCGCAGGTGTCTATGGTGGGGAACGAACGCGCTATTATCCTTTCCGGGGAGTAACGCGTTCACCACCACACCATGCGGGTCCTTTGTTTCGCACGTCTCTCAGCTATTTCTATCGATTTCTATTTTTGCCACAGCAATCACCCGTCAGCGGGGTTGATCTGGGGAGCGCAAATCGGCATGCCGATTGTATTGTATTTTTTGCCGGCATGTATTTCGCTTAGTAACCTGCCATGAAAATTATAGAAGGCAGAAAACAAAACGTTAAACATTGTGATTTCGTAATTCATTTAGTAATTATTGAGATTACTTACTTGATACTTGATACTTGAATGGCCCGTCCTCACTGGTTGTGCGGGCCCCAGCAAAATTTCCACTTTTTCGGAGTTTTGCTTGTTTAGCCATTGTGGTTCCCTGGATCAGAGGAAGATTAACCACTATGCGACTAGTTTGACACTAGGATGACGGTGGATCCTGGTATTCGTTTACTCTTAGCTGGACTTCCTGATGAAAACGCCCGACTCCTTCCCAGCTCGTGAGACCCTGATAGGGGATGAATGACCTAGTTGTACTTTGCGACCAGACACCCAGAAACACCTCCCAGCCATGATGAGGCGGCAAAACATTGGGAAGATTACTAAGATTAGAAAATGGAAAAGGAAATAGAAATCTTAGCGTATTATTTACTCATCAAAGGTGGCATTGGATTATCTACTCACTTTTACCTCTGTCTTAATGCTACAAGCGTAGTTTTGTTTTTACTTGGCTTTTCTTCATTTTTAATAACCTTAAAGGAGACTAGTAAGAAATTTTCTTGTGTTCGACGTGTTCGTGGTACCAGCACTTTTAGAGCTGCACTATTTCAAGTCGACCGCCCTAAGCAGGAAGATAGTGGATAAATACATCTTTTTTTGTTACTTTAAACGACAAGGTCTCGAAAGCTTCCTGATATCTTGATATCCACACAATTATAGTGGAACTAGTAGTTCTATCGATTCCAACATATAACTAGGCCCCGAAGAGTGCAAAAATCCGGAAGTGTCCACCGAAGAGAAAATTTTTGTTTAGCTAAACCCTAATCCAGACCAAGGTTGTTGAACCAACAGTTTGCCATTCAAATCTTTGATACGATTCAGTTCGTTGCGCATCCGAATTGTCAGCAACTGCTTTCCGGAATTTGGTACGAGGGCTTAGGGCCCGGGTTTCGTAATAGAAATATTATCTACAAGGTGAGTTGGTGTAGTGCATCTTATCGTTCTTTTCTCTTTAATGTGTCTAGAAGAGGATTGCAGGGAATGTATAGAAAATATAAAACTTAAGTTGCAGTCGATATCTTACTTACTTAGTATAAGCAATTCTATGCAAATGCATTTCGATACTCCTATAGCAAAGGTTACCTTTCGTGAAGGAACACCATCAGCGATCCTTTCCACTAGGTTCGCCTATTTTTCCTCGGAAAATTTATACTGGAGCGAGTGGCATCAATGTCGGCTAACACAGAGGGTGACAATATTTTGAAAAAATATAATCAAAATAAATAATAAAATATGTTCGAGACATGAGAAGTAAAAACAGGAGAAATATATTGTTAAGAATTAAAATGTTTCACCGAATTCAACGGTGTGGAAAAAGTAGACAGCGAATCAATCGCTGGAAAATCGAGCTCATAAATGACGCCTGATGTAAAGAAGAATTATTCTAGACAGATCAGTTATTGAGTAGACTGCCTCCCATGTATACTTGGCATGCATAGTGAAGATATGCACAACGCTGTGAGGGAAGAATTCGGTAGAAGGCTAGGAGCAATGTGGGTCGCCCTTAGCCCTGAAGCCTTTGAGTGAATCCACTGGTCAGCTTACCAATCCTGACCTACGTGCTCAGTTATTTACCTCAACACATCCACTAACTCTGTTATATGAAGCAGAAAAGTATCCAACTCTGCAGTCATGGCGAAGAATTCCCGTCTAATACGCATGGCCTTGAGCGATATCTTCTGAATATAAACCGGCGCCCAACGTCGTGTCCGTGTCGCAGTTTCAGTAATCAAAAAATTTTCAAGAAAGAAAGAATCAAAGAAGAAGGTTTTGGACCCGTTAGAGGTTGTTCGAGAGAATCACTAGGAAAACGCTTCCAGAGAAAGCGGAATACATCTTAAGAAGAGTCATCGATGTTTATAGAGTTATAAGGGAAGACGATAGATGAACAAAAAGAACATTAGTTTGGATTCCAAGGAGTTTGTAGGAGGTCGTCAAAAAAGTTGATCATCTGTGTTTATTGCACGCTTAAGTCGACTATATTCATAGCTGCAAGCTCGGTCAAACAACAAGTGAATACGACCGCCTCAACGGATGTAAGACAACGAAACGGGTTCAAGAAAAAGTGTGAACTACGTACAATTTATGAAGATCGGTAACCTAATTATCTAAGTAATACAGGATCTTATAGATGATTGTCATGTGTAACAGTAATTTCAAAGAAATAGAGGAATTCCATGTGCTTGATCGTTGCGTTGACCGATTCTTATACTATCCCATCTTGAATATCTTAAATCTAGATTTGTTGGTTTTATTGATTTCACTAATTCAGCGATGTGGTACCATAAAATAAAAGGACAAAGCTCTCGGCGTTGACCAATCCCTGAGGGATGTGCTATGCATTTCATTAAGCATCGTTTGGAGATGATTAAATGCATATCTGACCCTCACAATGACTCACGGTGACTTACTGACTCACTGAGCCAGTGCTGCTATCCTCCAAAACAAATCTAGTAGCAGTGTGGTCCCACATGGAAAGCAAATACTAATGGAGGGTTTATAGGATGGCATTTGTTAAACATACGATTTATAGTCGTAAATTGCGTACTTATCTCTCAACTTGATAGAAAGTTGGAATGGAATTCAAGATAGAAGAAGAGGAAACTAGGTAAAAGGAAAAATATTAGACCATAGAAAAACGAGGTAAAGTGGATAAAGGGATAAAGCGCTCAAAGTTGATGCACCCTTCCTTGCACATGCATGCGACTCCTCTAAGCATCCGTGAAGGTGCCATTTCGCCCGCATAACGGCTTTTGCTGGCATGCTGATGCATCTGTCAGCATCGTTATCCTCCCAGACAAGTCAGCTAGCAATTTCCGACCCATACCTAAGGCAGAAAAACAAACTGGTTGTCCGCGACACGATGTCAAGCAACTCACTAAATATATACTGCAGAACACCATTAACCATTGTCCTGTATATGACTTTCAACATATAGAAAGGATTTGTATGATGCAAAAAAATGTTTGCCTTCAATAAGTCATTTGCTTTCAGTGCCTTCTAATTGCAGCCGTTGGACTTTCGTTTCCAATTCTTTCCATTTCGTACTTAATAGCGCCAAAATCGGCTATCGCTCAGTTCACCCGTAGGCCTTTTGTGAAGTTTTTGTCGCACTCAGCCAGTTACATGGTGTTCCTGGGTGAGTTCGATTTCTATTTTTAAGGTGGTGAAACGCTACGGAGAGCGCTTTATGTTCTTTGAAAACTGCCTTCTTTATTTTGTGTGATGGGAACGGTCCCTATAGTTTTGTGGCGCGAAAAATTGGTACGAAACGACTTTTGATATGGACATTAGAGTCAATTTTTACGAAAAGAAAACTCATGTGTTTTATCGAAAATCTACTAAAATTTCCTTGATTTAAAGTGTGTCTGAGAAAAAAACCCTAGTTAGGCTACAATTTTTCTGCACCGATCTTTCCTCAAGTTCAAATAGAAACTATTCTAAGTGACGATCGTTTGTAAAGAAAAACAACTTTGTTTTCGAAGCTTTTCATTCCTTTGCCGCTGCCTATTCCTTCCACGGGCCCTCACTTTTGCGGTAATAAAATTATAAGGCAAAAAAAAGAATCACATCCTCCAAAAAGAGTATGAAAAATCCTCCGAGTAAATAGAAGCGTTAAAAATTTTCATTTAGTTCTTTTACTCATGGCTAGTCAACGAATTGACAAAATCGACAACATGTTCCGTGAGGAGAATGCGCCCGATAGGAAGGAGGGTAGAGGACCACCACCGACTCCAGTCGAAGTAGCGATCATCATTTGGGTGCTGGGTACGTTAGCACTCTCATCTAAGCTTGTTTGCAACCTGTTGCACTCGCTGTTCAGTATTGAAGTAAAATATCGTTTTCGCACTTATTCTTTAGAATTTTTTTTACCCACACATTTGTCCTGAGCATTTGCGGGCCAAAATTCGTAAGTTATGTTATCCGCAGCATAATTTCCACTCGTTTCGTCCATTCCTTGGCCACTTTTGCACTCTTTTTATATGAAGGTGCATTTGAGTAGTTGATTAATCTTCGATCAAGTTTAAACTTTCCCATTAGTGATGCGATTCAGATATTTTCATTGGCCCTGGAAGTGAAAAACCGATTTGGCACGAATTCTACGCCAGTTCTCAAATGTGAACACATAACGCTCGGTGCTGGGTTTTCTGACATGGGCGACAATTTTCGTATTAGTAGAGTAATGAAAGAGTTAAAATTTCACTGATTTCTAGGATACACTTTGCTTTGTAGCTTTAATGTATATATATATATATATATACAAATTTTATCAGGATTTCCTTTGCTTTCAAATTTGTTTGTAAGAACATAAATAAACACATAAACAACTTCCTCCAAAAATTTGGAGAGGACATTTAGAAATTTCGAAGGCTCTAAGGTGAGAACATCAGCTGCAAATAAAGACAATGCATTGAGAACATCATCTTGTTCTGCTGGAGGAAGTCCCGCTTCTGCAACTGCTTTCGTGCTCAAAATACGAGTCTTGAAGGAAAAATATGGCAGAAACATGTTTCTTCAGATAAAAAAAATGAAAATTTCTGATTAGCTGGACAAGATGACTCTTGTCTTGTGAATGAAGATTTGTAAATTTTAGAGGTCTCTATCCTAACTGGTAAACACTGTTATAAACTAAAATGTCCTGGTTTAGATTTGAAAATAGCCATTGTTTTCTTACTAAACATTAGATCAATGCATGTCGGTTGCTATGGGCTAACAATGCTTTACTTCTGATATCTTATTCATCTGCTTACAAAACTGGGAAAGTAGCTGGGTGAACGAGAAAATCAGGTGGTTTCTTATTGTTCTTCGCAAAATCAGTGCTATTCAAGGATTTTTGCGTCACATCTAGAAAAATAGGATAAAGCTCTCGGCGTTGATGGATGCACCATTCCACTTCATTAAGCATTGTTTGAAGGTGATTGAATCCATGTCTGGGCTTTACCACAACTCGCGGTGGTCTAAGAATGTATCGTGCAAGTGCTTCGATCCTCCCAAACTAGTCTAGTACCAATTTACCGGCCCCGGAGGGACGGAAGGCTTGGTAAGCCATGTGTGCGGAGGGCGTTTCCACGTGAGTGTCGCAGGGCGCCTGCAACCACTGGCTAGTTCGTATGGCATTTGCTTCTCTTCTTTTCTCCTGCCATACGGGACCCTTTGTGAGTGCCATAACTCCTAATCTCAAAGTTGTGTAATTAAACGGTTTGTAGCCATAAAAATAAAACAATTGTACCGTGACAATACCGAAACAATGTAAGCGACAAAAGAAAATAACCGCTGTGAATAATAGAGATAACAGTGAGGTGGACTTTGAGACAAGCAGGGCGGCACTGCTATAGACTCACGGTGTAATCTGATGCGCAACTGTGATGTAGGACACAACAGTAATGCTATAGGAGGTTGACATATTTAGACGACAAATGTGAGATTATAATAACAGTGCACTGAGAACTAAGAAGGAGCCTGGTGTTTCCATCAAGAAGCTTGACTAAGAGTAAACCAATACCAGGATCCACCACCGTCCTGGTATCAAAGTCGCATGGTGGAAAATCTCCTTCTGATGCACAAGGACTGCGACTAGTTGTCGCGGTGACGATCTAGGGCAAACTTTGGCCAGGCTGTCCTCGAGATTCCAGGGAACCACAATGGCTTAACTAGCAAATCTCCGAAAAATAGAGATTATGCTGGAGACCGCGCAACTAGTGAGGACGGGCCGTTCTAGTATCAAGTAAGTAAGTAAGTATCTTATACCTACAGTACGATTACCTTAGCATATTAGAAGACACATGTGTGGGTTATAATAACTTCAGCTTGCAATAACACTGCAATGAGGTTAACTTCGTAGAAGACGTATGTAAAGTCGTAATGGTCTTAACTCACTGGTAATTATTAGGGCCATGGTTAGCACAAGTTGCAAAAGCGATTATGTGAGAGTAAGGTTTAACAAAAGGAATTGGCTACATGAAATAAAGCCGCAACCTGCTGGAGTAAGCAGTGTTCGGCGTAGCTTCTGAGGTTCCCACAAGATACACGTCGACAGCCGCACCAGATAAGGACGCCTAGTGATGTTTTTTATACAGAATATTCATGACAAAATGATATGGTAGCCAGTGCAGGAAAGACGACGTAAACAGTGCGATGAAGGTGGTGTAAATAGTGTGATCGACAACCAAGAAAATGTCGAACATCACAGGGTTGAGCCAAATAGGAATAAAGCTGTGCCCGGTGGGCGATCCCTATAGGGTAGAGCATCGTCTCCATAACCTCCTTATATTTTTTTTGTTGCTTACAGGATTGATTTGGGTGGAAATTAAGCAGTTATGGAATAGTGGGCTGTATGACTATTGCAATAATCTATGGAATATTCTCGACTTCATCACCAATTCACTTTATCTCTCAACAGTCGCTCTACGTGCAGTTGCTTATTATCAAGTAGGAGTTCCTTAGTTTCTTAATCTTTTGATCAACCAGCTTGGTCGTTGGTTTTAGTTTGTTAGTTTTTTCCCATTTACTTCTTTTTAGTTCCTTCTTTAATTTTTCAGTGACTTCCCAGTTTTCACTTGACATCATAGTTTTCAAAAAATGGCGACGACAGTACATGCGAACTCTTAGTTTAGTTGTTTGTCCCAAAAGTCGCGCATGAAATACAGTAGGGTGCTTATGTGGGCTAATAACGTCTGAAGATGATAAAGTACATTTTCCAAAATTCCATAGTCAAGCTTGTTGCAATTAAAGTCTGAACAAATTAAGGTCAACCAAGAGATGAACAATCCACAAATGCAACACATTGGACGATTCCTTCAACGGTGATTGATTTCCACAATAGTTTTTATTTTCAATCATTATTTTTAACTCGAAATTATTTTACCAACTTTTAAAGAACTGGCTGAATAGGTACCATTGAACAGGCGAGTTCACACAGCTTCCCAACACGACCTCTCGCCTTCTTCTCAAAATTATCCTGCTTTTATCCGTAGCCAACCTTTGTCACAATGCTCACGTACGAATAATCTAACTGCTCAGCATTTCACTTTCCGAAAAAGAAGGCGCCAGATTTGAAACGCATCTTCAGTTCTTAAACCATCTTTAGGCCAAATTTGCTCAAAACTTCATTCATTCACCTTATAGTATGCTTCATTATGAGTCACGTAATACCATTACAGCTTTTGCACATATATGTAATTACTGAATTTCCTGCAAAAGTGTTCGATTCTCAAAAAGCTCATTAGCCGCCGAGAGGCCTTATGATTCTTCTGATCTTCTTTAGCCCTATGTTCTAAATCATTTTCTGGGAATTCTTTGACAACCATTATTGTGGCATCTAAAACTGACAAGAGGTCGCGTGTTGCGTAGAGGTTAAAGGTGCCTTGCGAAGTGGTCATTTTGTTCGGTTTCGTAATTTCTGCTCAGCAACGTAGACAGATAATTGCTTAAACACGCATGAAGGACCTCGTTGATTTCCAATCCTAATAAGATAACTGAATAACATTCCTCCTCATTTTTATGAAGAACACAGTTTGTTATGGCCGAAAACGGCTTGTTCATCTTAAACGCCTTTTCCCAGATGCCTCACGAAACAATACCACATGCAAACCTGGCTAATCCTCCGCCATTATTCCGAGGCTGAGAAGTGCTGCGAAATGTCTTTTTATCCTCCTCCAGCCCGAAAAGTGTATGGAATCGTACTATACCTTTTCCATTGGCTTGAAGCTATCTGAAAAAGGTTCATTATTCAGAGAATATGAGATTTGTTCTGTGCTGGCCCACCTTTTTTATCTACATCGATATCTTTCCGAACTGATAACATCAACGTCGCAAAATGAAAAGCCGGTTTCGAATCTAAGCTATTAGCTCACTGCTCATGGTCAACATTATAAATTGAAACAAAACCATTAGAACCTACAGTCCTTTGTTGATGAGGCACAAAATTTCGTCCTGTAATAGAAAAAAGGATAAAGCTCTCGGCGTTGATAAATCCCTGAGTGATGCGCCATGCATTCTCACTCATTAAGCATCGTTTGGGGGTAATTAAATGCGTACCTGGCCTTCATAAAGACTCGTGGTGACCTACCGATGTATCGAGCCAGTGCTGCTATCCTCCTAGATAAGTCCGGTTCCAATTTACCGACACCGGAGGGATGGAAGGCTTGGTGGGCCATGGGCGGCGGAATCGATTCCACGTGTGTATTGCAGGGCGCCTCCCACCACTGTGCCACCCACGCCGCTTTCATACTGTAGTAAGATGATCTTTTGCACTTTACAGACAAAAAAGAAATGCCACTGTTTCCAGAAGAGAGTGGGACGCCTGGGATCCAACACTGGTCAGCGAGTGCGTGTTCGCCACTGCGAATATTTTCTCTTCTCTGAAGCTCGTCCACATTTTCACTGTAAATCCATATTTAGGACCACTGAAGATATCATTAGGTCCGTTGTTAAATATTTCACTAAAACTAAAAACACGAAGGTTGACTCGGTCGGAAGAGAAAGATGCAAAAAATTCGTGTTTTCGTCCCTTTACGAATGATAGAGGAAATCCACTGTTGCACTTCTTCTATGAAAAGAAATTTATTCTGCCCTATATAAATGATCGAGTTGAGAATTGAAGAGCTCCTGGTGTTCGTTAAGGATTTCACTACCTTTAACGCTCATATTTCCCGATTTCTTCTACAACAATTGAGCAATTCTAGATTACTATTTCTTCGTAGAAAAACAATTTATGACAGCTAAGAGAAAAATGGTAGCAGAAGATTTTTCAGGTCGAATGGTGATCGACATTCTGAAATTCTTCCTAGTATATGCACTGGTGCTTTTTGCGTTCGCATGTGGACTTAATCAACTCCTTTGGTATTACGGCTCCATGAGGAAGCAGGTAAATCCATTCGATATGTCCGGAAGAAAGGCAGGACCTTTAATTTTTTCACCGATTCTCACTACGTTTCAATAAGAAAAGTGTGAGAAGTTTGGTTGGTGTAACAATACCTGGCCTTTGTAATACTCGAATACGTACCATATTAAGACCATGAAGGATAAAGGCTATAGCTCTCGGCGTTGATCAGTCACTGAGAGATGCGCCATGCACTCTTCATTAAGCAATATCTGGAGGTGACTGAATGCATATCTGGCCTTCACAATGACTCTCGGTGGCCTTTCGATGTATCGAACCAGTGCTGCCATTCTCCCAGACAAGTCCGGTACCAATTTTCCAACCTCTAAGAGATGGAAGACTTGGTGGGTCACGTGCGCGGGATCGATCTCAAGTGCGTGTTGCAAGGCGCCTCCGTCCACTGCGACACACGCGCATTTATTTAGACCATATTACTATTGTTCACCTAGGATTAAAGTTGACGCCACACATTTCAGAGTAACTGGAAACCGGTTAATTTCACCACTTTAAAAAACAAAATTAACAAAGTAATGGATAAAAAATTCAGGAATGCCGTCAATACAAGGATTTCCTAGCGAATCCGACATCGATGATGAACGCCGCTAAAGTGGAATCACTCAGAGACAGTTGCGACCCAAAATACAGAAGCGTATCGAGGTTCTTTGTTAAATATTTTGAGGGTTATACTACTTAACAAGAAGCGGTCCACGTTGAAGAATACGAAGTACAGGAAATTTTTAAAAAGCAGCGCAAAAAAAGTGTAGAAATACTGAGCGAACCCAAATTATGTTCCCAAGATCGGCTTTTCATTAACCTGGGCATTGATCAAATAATCAACTGTTTTCTCCATGAGCAAACACATGGTTGTTGTTTTGCTCATTTTATCCACAAAAAAGCTGAGGCTTCAGCGGATTTCGCCTTGTTTACAGTCTGAAGAGGTTAAATTGGGTGCAACCTACCCAGCTAAACACCTCCATAATCAAAACAAAAAAATAAAAAAATCAAGGTTCCCGATTTTTATGAGTACTCCATAGAGTAAAACCAACCTCAGAGAGTTCACATGAATGGATTGTATCTATCTCACTTTAAAATATCAACCTTAAATACTATGTGAGGTGACGTTTGATAACGAGGCATTCTTCTCTGGGGTTCATTTTTGGGTTCTTGAAACTCATCCAGAACGCTTCGAGAGTTTTGCGCACTGAAGTTCTCGATTCCTCTGCGAGGATGGTAACTTCCCCTTCAAAATCATCCCCGTAGGAAACATGTTGTTTGTTCTCTTGCGACAGTCTCAAGAGTGATGAAAGGATGATTTAAGAGCTGTGCTGTTGAGGTGGCAACAATAGAATAAAGCTCATATACGCGAAGGGCTTACTCATTTCAATGATCGCTGATATAGGGAAGTTATTTTCGACTCTGTCGAATGTCTCTTGACAGAAAGGAACAAGATCCACTCTTGACTGAAATCCACAGTACGGATGTGGTCCACGTCGCAGAATCTTCATCGAAGTTCAACTAGTTGAATTTTGTCAGTCCTTCAATTGGAAGAATATCGTCGTGCCTACGGTGCGGGATACTGAGGTTTCCAGTTCTTGATATCGCCACATTATTTGTTGTCAGTGGAATATAGTTCTTCGAATCATTTGAACCGACTAATCGCCAGCTCGAAATAGAATGCTCGACCACACACGAATTTACCAAGCGGGAGTTCGCGACGTTGTCACAGAGCTAAATCTCAAATTTGGGCAACTAAACCTTTTCAAGTGACAAGACTACAACAGAGATGAATAAACGAGGTCAATATGATGAGCGGAGGTGACTCTTGAGAGAAAGCGGTCGTCATAGGCATTGTGATGCGTAAGTGTGATAACCGTAACCGTGATAACCACAACCGTAAAGGCATAGTAGGCTGTCACATCATAATCCTCATGTGAGATTATGATAACACTATGATGAGGTTAATAAATATGCGAACAGCGTATGTATTTGAGCAAGTTGTTAGATTAACCACTCACAGTGTTTACATGAGGGTTGGTAATAACTTTGATACGTCGATGATGCAAGAGTGCAATACTGAGTCAACACTGTACTGGTCTATGCAAATCGAAGAAAGGGGGAGCGGATAACAAAATGGTGTAAAAGGATGTTGGCAACCTCTAAGTGTCGTTTAAAGCAAATGGCACTGCTCAGAGGCGTGACTAACTTTTAGCTAACCTCTCTACGAATGCAGATGCTAACATGCGAAGAAACTTCGGAGCCTTGACTACTGAGTTTTTAAATGTGCAGATGTTGAAATATCATAGGATTACAAGCATTTTTGAGCCACCTACAAAGCAAAACCTGACCACCTGGTGACAACTCATGCAACGACGGAGTCAGAAAAGTGCTTTGGAGTGCTAGCATAAATGTGGCTAGCAGTAAATATAGATATGAAACATATGATAGTACAGAAAATAGTAACTATCCAGAGTCTAGAAAACTTGTTTTCCTTATAGGCCCGATATAGCTATGCCGATGGATCTTTAGGTCATTATTCAGTCGACGACCTTCGTGCATTGAAAGTTGCCCTCATGCGACTGGTACTCTTCCAAAATGGCAGCGATTTCTCACATGGGTTTACTCTTAGCATGGCTATCAGGTGGAAATGTTAAGACTTCTCACAAGCTGTGATAAACACGGTGGGACACGAAATCGTCACGACATCCAGCGACACCCCAACGGACTCCGAATAATCACCATTATCTCATTCAGTGCACAATGGATACCAAATCTGATGAAAAAGTACTCGCTACTCGAAATCCTCTTCCTAGCTAAAGCATTGATAATTTTAGAAAAATCTCCCATAAGACTTGCATTAGACTTCTTGCAGACTGGCCCTATAGGTGCGTTACATTTTTCTGCTGTGCTTCTTCCATACCAATTATTTCAAGTGTTGAATTCTACCAGACATTTACTATAAAACTTTATAGCATTTACTACACATCGGAGACGTTGTTCTGGGCGATGTTTGGTTTAATTGATCTTTCTCATTTCTCACTTAAGGTGAGCAAATCTCATCTATTTCTTCTCCATTTGATGTTCTATTTGTATAACAATGTGGTAAAACTATCACATTCCTCTAACACGTTTTGTGATTTGGATAGTTACGGAGACGACCTTTTCCAAAACGCCAAAGTGACGTCATGTGGGCCAATTTCACAAGTTCCTTGATTTTTGCTGAGCACCTTCAAAATCGTTTGATTCCTATTAATTCGAAACAGCCACCGTCAAAGTGATTTCTAAATCTATAAAATATAAATATGTAATAGATCTAAAAGAACATTGGTCTCTTTCCAGTATTTCGCCATTGAACTCTAAACCACATGTATATTTCTAAGTCACATTTTGACCTTTTTAGCGTAGATGACAGGTTTCAGGAGGCTCATTACCTTACTGAATGGACGGGCAAGACTATTTTTGGCAGTTATTCATGCTGTTCTATTATTGTGCTGCTTAATATGCTGATTGCTATGATGAGCAACTCCTACCAATATATCTCTGTAAGTTCATAGAGAATTAATGAAATTTTGATTTGTCAAGGAATTGTCCTCATTATTTTGGAGTTAACATATCATACGACCAAGGCAATTTCCTCTGTAAGAGATCTCATTAATTTCCTCCAGATCTATCGCCAATGAGGACGCATATCCAGTTAATTTCGAGGCGACCCGCAACTATAGAGTTAATGAAAAGTAGCTCCCTATTTTAAAACTTTCAAAATTTATTTCTGAACCATAAATCTAGCAATAAATGAACATGTGAAGGAAGCGCATAACATGGAGCCATAGAATATAGGCACCAGCGTTTGCCACTAGCTTATCGAACCACCTGGGAACTGCGTTGACTGATTTCATCATGCACACTTGTGGAATGGAAGACATAATTTCTTGTAGTGCTACGGCCCACAAACCGACAGACATGGGCTCTTACTTCACCGCAGGATAATTTTTAAGACATTAAACTAATTGCCATACCGAGCCAACATTATTTCTTTAAACTCCACGCGAATGTCGCAGTCTTCAGCAGAGAATACTTAACAGTAGTGATAATTCCAAACACTCCATTTAAACTACTTCTTGACCACAGCTTGCATATTGAGAAAGGACAGCTCAGTTAACGCTGCTACTTGTATAATTGACTTTTTTTGAGCTATCAGTAAACATTTCTTGAATAAGTTGCACTACCTAAGAGTCACTGCTATGGGAAGGGCAACCGCTATTTCGAGTGCTAGCTACATATCCTAAATCTGAAAGGGCGCGTGTGGTGCAGTGGTCGGAGAGGCCATGCAATACACACGTGATCGATCCCAGCGCCCAAGGGCCACCAAGCCCTCCATCTCTCCGGAATCGGGAAATTGGTACCAGACTTGTCTCAGAGGATCGCAGCACTGGCTCTATACATCGGTAGGCCACCGCGAGTTATTGTAAAGGCCAGATATGCATTCAGTCACCTCCAACGATACTTAATGAAGTCGATGCAACGCGCATCCCTCAGGAATTGATCAACGCCGAAAGCTTTATCCTTTCTATTTTTTAAAATCTGAAAGGACCATGGCCATGATGTGTACCCAAACGCATGGTCCTTGTCAACACGAGCTTAGATATGAACGTTAATTCCTTTAAAAACTAAAAGCCTTATAGCCGAAACGATGTGGATACATACCGGTTTTGACAATCTTCGACGAGCTGTTTATCCAGTATCATTACGATGCTGACAGCTTCATCTCTCTCTAGAAATGCCTTATCTAGGATGCCGACGCTCGAAGTGCAAGCTGTCACCACGCAGAAGTTGAGAAGAGCATTATCAATGCCTGCCAAGATTTCACCAATTACAGAACCAAGATAGTCGCTTTTCGGCATCCTACAGCTACCGCATTCGTGAAAGCAGTAGAGAAGCTGATTCCTCAAGAAAACAGTATTAATGACAAACGAATTCATTCCTTGTATTCCACTGACACCTCATATAATGGAATCCAGTCGTGTGCATCTAGGTAGGGTAGTTAACACTTGGACTGCGGCTTGGAACTAAACCTAAGCCAGGGCGGTGAGCGACTTGAGGAGCCTACAACGACATCAACGATGTGCTAAAAAAGAACAAATAACAATGGATAAACAAATTTTTGCAACCTCTTCGACTCTGCCATTCTTCCTGCCTTCAGCGTAAGTGTAAAAGTCCGGTTTCTTGTTGCAAGTTTCGGCGTCAACCAAACATTATTTGATTTGTTGTCCAGTCCTCGTTGTTGATAGTTCCGGATCAACATCTCGAGCGTACTGAATAGAAAGCACCAACGACACGTTTTCCATTTTTCCTCAATCTGCTGGCACAAAACCTTCAACTCCGTATTTTTTAACATTTTGAATGGACGACCTTAACTATGGAATTTCAAACAAAAAACCTTCACTAGAATACTTGACATCCAATAACCTTAATTCGTCAATATTATGAGAGCTAAATCTATGCAAGAGAGCTGATTAGAACGTCAAAGTCTATAGAGATCAGTAAAATCTGAACGGTAAATTAAAGTAGGATAAGTGCAAGGATAATGAGAGAGCAAAACTCGGGAACTCCGCTGAGCTTCGAACCTTCGGTTGCCCTTCCCGGACCCTCACGTTTTATCCACTGCACAACGGGCGTTTTGCTCTACCCTTCTCTCATCTAGATTTTTGCTCTAACGCTGCTGGCAATCACTCCTCAACAGGAATGGTCTGGAGAGTAGAAATCGGCATTGAACCCAGTTGCCGATAGCACGTGAGCCTCGGTTAGGACAAACACGAGTTCGAAGCCCAGCTAACGTTCTGAATTTTGCTCATCGCTCAGCATCCCTGAGGTTGTATTTGACATCATACACAACCATGAAGAAGAATAGACATTAAATAAAAGTTAAAACATTGTAATGTAAGCAACATTATCTTACAGAAGTGAAGTTATGAGGTTACGAAAAGAAACCAGAAAAAAGTTCTTATTTTCAGAATCAATCCGATATCGAATGGAAATTCGCTCGTAGTAAGCTCTTCATTGAGTATTTCGACGACACCGCCACGCTCCCGCCTCCATTCAACATTATCCCAAGTCCGAAGAGCTTCTACTACGGTAAATCAAAGATTGTCAGCTCTTCACCTTCTTTGTTTCTTTGTTTGTTAGCTTAATGAACAGCGTAGTACAGTAAAAAGCCGCCCTCGTCTGTTAACCAAACCCTCCATCGTTCTTGAATCCGCAAATTGACACTGAGCGCATCTTACTTAATACTTGAATGACCCGTCCTCACTGGTTGTGCGGGGCCCAGCATAATCTCTATTTTTCGGAAATTTGCTGGTTAAGTCATTATGGTTCCCTGGAGTCCCGAGGTCAGCCTATCCAAAGTCTCCCTCAGGTCTTCACCACCACAGGCAGTAGTAGCCCTTGTGGATCAGTGGGAGATTTACCACCATGAGGCTTTGATACCAGGGCGGTGGTGGATCCTGGTATTTGTTTACTCTTAGCTAGGCTTTCTGATGGAAACGTCGGACTCCTTCTCAGCTTGGGAGATCCTACCGGAGAGACGATTTCCCCCGCTGTACATCGCAGTCCGACACTCAGGAACGCCTCCCAGCCACGATGAGGCGGTAAACCGTTGGGTGGTGAGCATATCTACAAAGTATAAACAAGGACTTATCTATCCATCTACCGTCATTCTTCCACTTGACCCACTAGATTCACACTCGTCCTCAGTGTGGCTCTATAGATAAGATATGGACCTGGTAACACAAACAAACAAAAGAGAATGAGAGAAAAAGTAACTTTTTCCTCTTTCTTTTTCATAACATTCATAAGTCTACAGAAAAAGTATAAAAACACGGATATAAGCCATGGCAAGGTATGATTTGAAATATAACCACAGTGACCTTGTGAGGATAACCTTCTGTTCCACTTTCTGAGATTTTTAATTCTAAACAAACTTAAAGTTGAGAAATGTTTTATCAAAAGTGCGGCGTTAACGCGGTAGAGAAACGTCATCTCTATAAGCATTCAAAGTTCTCAACTCTTCTATTGTTCTAAAAATGACAAAATTATCGTTTGTTTTCGAAAAAGCAGCTCCATCGCGAATGTGTCACCGATGAAAGGCACTGGAATTTTATGGCACTCATTCACTGAACACCATGTGAGTCGCAAATTAGTGACTCTCTTCATGGAATTTATTAATCGCTCAAGGTGAATCAGATACAGGACTACGGAGGATATAACCACAATGATGTTGAGATATGAGCAAAATTCGGGAACCTACGGAGCTTCGAACGCACGACTACCTTTTCTTAGAGCTCAGGTGCTATCGATCACACCAACAGATGCCCATGGTTTACCTTTCCCTCAGCAATGTAAAATAAAACATCATGAAAAATATGATCCTACGACTTTCGTATTGATTTAGGTTGAAAAATACTTTAACCTAGCTCAATACTCTAGTGACAACTCTCTGGCTCTTTTTTCATCAGTCTATAACAAAATAATGGGCCATAAATGGGTGCATCGAGATTCAAAGCAATAATATGTTGCAGGATTGAAATGGATATGTGAAAGGTACTGCAACTGCTCAAAAGCGAAGCAAGTCGGAAAGCAGCGCAGTATGAGGGTAAGAAGTACTTGTGATAACTAGATAACTTTTTGGTACCTTTTTTTGGTAAATTCACTTGTAATCAATATGAAGGCGTGATTTTCCCGTAACGTATAGACATTTTGCGACCTTAAAAATGACAGTCTGGAATGCCATACAAAGCATGGGCGCGTGTGACGCAGTGATCGGAGGAGCCCTGCAACGCATACATGAAATCGATCCCCGCAACCATGGCCCACAAAGCCCTCCATCCGTCCGAAGTTGGCAAATTAAAACCAGACTTGTCTAGGAAGGTAGCAGCACTAGCTTGATACCATTGGAAGGCCATCGAGAGTCATTGTAAAGGCCAGATATGCATTCAATAACCTCCAAACAATGCTTAATGAAATCGACTGCAGGGCAGTTTCTCTCCCAACTTCTTCAATGGGATATCCAAACGAGAGGATTAAGGATAAAGTTTGCGTCTCTCCAAATGAGAGACAGTTCAAAAACCTGTATGTTCCGACAATCTAGCACTGTCACATTTTATCTATGAGGACTATTTGATATATGCATAGAACAACAGCTTCTCCCTCAAAACACTGACTAAAATTTCGTAGCACAAGTAGCTAAGAAAATGACGTTATGACAACATCTCTCAAACCTATAGAAATTTGTAGACGAAGAAATCTTAACAATTGTTAACTTTTTATTTATTGCGTATTATAATTTATACAGGCGAAACGAAGGGCCCGCATGATGTGGTGGTGAACGCGTTACTCCCCGGAAAGGACAATAGTGCGTTCGTTCCCCACCGCAGACACCTGCGGTCCGGAGCTTTGTAAATATCTCAGCACCATTGTGGATGTGTCACCTAAGAATTGTGTTATAAAAATAGTTGTTTACTTGAAATTGCAAAAATAGAAGTGATTGCGACTGTTGGATGACTGTGAAGCATTTCAGAATCAAAAAATTCTACGCGTCGTCAACAATCTGGAGAGCAACTACCGTGTAAGTGTCCAGGTCGAGTCACCTATTGTATTCCTCATCAACTACAAAATATACCATCTTGGAAGAAATTATTTCCAAATCACCGTAACCCTGGAGAGCATGTTTCGTATGAACAGGAAAACACTTAATCTGGCTGTTGCGCAGAAATGCGTTGCATTTCTTTATTGAAACGATGCTATTATCTGTAAAGCGATAGTCGATCCTGAAGAGGAGGACTCTGTCAGCAACATCTCATTTGCTCACCAGCGTTATTTTTTATTTTAGCACGGCTCACTTTACAGCTTCACGAATGTGTTAGATGTAGAATTGTTGCTATTATACTGTTTCTGTCTCCGTAAGGGATATGTGCTCCTTAGTGCTGTGAATTTCAAAGCTGTGAGTTTCTCTTTCGTAGTTCGTCACAAGGAATCTCGTCCAGCGTTACATTGCGCAGATGCAACGAGTCAAACAACGAAACGAAGGTGTCACCGAAGACGATGTCAACGAAATCAAACAGGTACACCGTTTGCATACCCATTGCCTTCTGATTAACTTTACAACAATAAATTTTCTTAAGTCAAAATAAGAATTGGTGTAATAGAAAATTAGCTCTAAAAAGCTTTCCCCACCAACTGCTCTGTCAATTAAACCTTTATGGAGTGACCTGCGCTGACATTCGTGGTCCACTTCACAAAGTCTAAATCTGTCCCTGTCGTGCATCACTTTACATGTTGACTCAACTCGCTTAATCCGAACTAAAAGAGCATGAATATTCTTGTTACCCATCAATATCCGTTATGCTTTATTGGTCTTAGACATAGGTCACCTAGAAAGTCTATCTCGTGAATCAAGCTCGTTTCAGCGCGGAAACTTCCTCACTTTTTAGCATCTATCCGCAACCTTAGCATGCAGTGCATACCCTGGTCAATAACTAGCTCAAGACCATCCATTTCAGGTTGCTCACTGTATAACGAGTTGTTTAATTTCAGGATATCAGTGCCTTTCGCTATGAACTGCTGGGGATATTGCGCTCAGCAGGCTTTAACACTGGTCATACCGACATCAACCAGAAGACGCACTGTTAGTTATTCAATTTTCACTTGTTGTCTGAATATAAAAGCCACTAAATCAGTAGAGAATGTCATAAAGCATAAATGTGTTTCGAGGTTGAATACATACAGGAATGACCTATGATTTGGACGGTGAGTTGAGCTTGTGAATCTGTGCGAAATTGTGAAAGTCAAAAAAAAACAGTGTAACATGTCCCTAGTAAGGTTTCCTCACTCTGTAGTATTCTTTTAAATTTCTACCTCAATTTCGTATTTTGCAGAATTAAGTTCAGGATTGTCTTGATCACTGGAATTTCGTATAAGCCAGAGTTCAAAGCGAAAACTTAGATGTTAATACAATCTAATACACACTTGAACACAATTTCAAGAAGTCGTACAATACCTTCGGTGACTTCAGCTCACACTATGTAGCTCTATTCGATGCGATTACCGTACTTTAATAATAACTCGAAAGAATGCCTCCTTACAAAGACATATGAAATAGCAAGTCGAACTTTTATGGAACTGCTCACTCAGGCAGCAATACAATACCTTTGGCACCTCTTTCGTTCAACGCATATCGCGCCGTTGTGGTCCTGTTTTATTCCCATTTTGGTAAAAACACCGCTAAAACGGGACAGTAGTTCCTCGCCCTTGTGTAAGGTTTTGGAGTTTATTCTGCGAAGTATCCACCAATGCTAAAGAAATGGGCACCGCATAAATTTAATAAAGAGCTATGAGCTGGTCCCATTAAATTTAATCCTCGCTTCTTTTACGCACTTTTGTGAGCGATGAAAAATTGATCCTACACAACAAATTAAAAGTCTTAGTAGAGTTATTGGAGAAATGTAAAACTTCCAAATAGTTCTCAAAGACGAATTTGCATCCAGAGAAGATATAACGAGCGCGCTGGGTTTGAATCTGGGCTAATCCGCTGCAACTTTTTAAATACTGGTGAAACGATCATAGTAGAGCAGTCTATCTAGCCACGATTAGTCAAAAGAGAAAGCTTAACCTTAAGAATAACTAACGATGAAGAAGCTGAACACGTTGAGCAATGAAACTACCGTTACCCACTAAACTCATGGGACCTCTCGGCAACTCACCGCCATTTTTCCAAACATTTCGACAACAACGTCCAAGGAAATACCGTCACCAATCAAATCCTTGATGAAAACACCTTTGAAGAATTTGTCACTTGCAGAACTTTAGGTTATTAGCAAAAATAAACTGGTATCCCACCCGCAAATAAGGTGCAGATTCTAACTATTCCTCTTCTGGATAATAATGTTGTCTTGGAGTTGAATTATAGTATTTCAAATTCACCGCTTGAAATCCTTCGTTGTTTTTAAGCAAGTCTGACGCAAAATATAATAACTGCTATAGGAAAACACACATATTTAAATACAAGTTAACATCTGCAATCACCTGTATCACCTGTAGTCCTGTTGATCGTCGAGAGACTCGAGAGAGCGCCAGTCAATTTTCCATTTTTCTCTGTCGCGTGCAAGAGTAGCGCCCTCTCTAGGGAAGGACTCGCCGAGCATCAGCAACACTAATGGTAGTCCAAAAGTTTTCACCACAGGTTGACGGCCTTCTCATTCAAAAACTTCTACAAAGATGAAAAAATTTCTCAGATACCGTTTACTTGTTTGAGCACGACCACTTCTAAATTTAATATCATTGCAAATTCTTGCTATGGTGCCTTTGTAGCAAAGCTTGTTACATACCTTTCAAAAACTCAATTCTACCGAATTTCAGCAAGAAACAAGAAACGAAGCGCAATTGCAGAGCGTCGATTAAAAACAGGACTACCTGAATTCAAAATTCCAATGCCAGAAAGTTTCCAGAATAGGAGAACCAGCTTAGCCTCATTACCGCCACAAGAGAGACAGTAAGTTCTGATGCTCATTTTGAGTTTTCTTTGGCAAAATTTGCACCTTCCATTTATGAACATTTTGCCTGATTCTTAACTATAACGGGAAAAAATCTGACGAAAAATAAACCCATTCCAGGAAACCGATTACACCCGTGCGAATACCAAATTTAAATTGGAGACATTTCAAGAAAAAGGTAAGTCTTCAGAGTAAAAATAACCATATTGCAATTCAGACGATGACAAATTGATTTAACAGCTTTTTTAACTGATGGCAGAGATCGATAGAACCAGCTGAGGTAGGCGAAACTAAGGACCCGCATGGTGTGGTAGTGAACGCGTTACTCCCCGGAAAGGACAATAGCGCGTTCGTTCCCCACCACAAATACCTGCAGTCCGGAGTTTCGCAAATATCTCAGCATCACTGAAGTTATATGTCGCAATATACCCTGCCATTAAAAATAGTAGACAGTAAATAAAAAGGTTAAGATTGTGATTTAACAGTATCGAAGACTTTATTTCAGGTTGGCTTCAAACATCCCTCTCCACAATCACCACCAACACCATCACGTGTAATACCTAAAAGTCTTTCAGTTGACAATCACGAACCAGCACAAGCTGCTTATATCAGCAATATTGGTAATGGAACGCACCGGTAAGTTCTTCAAGGCATAAGGGATAAATGTTCCAACGACATTACTATCCCAAAACATTGAAACTTTCACGAAGACAATTAGGAAACTGGCTTTCAATTAACCTCGGCATTAACAAACAGTTTTATTCCTCTTTTCGAGCTATTCAGTTCTTAACTGCTAATGCTCCACCCACTTTTGCTGTTCACATGGGATATTAATTTCAACACCATCTGACACCAGTGGTGACCTCACTCCCTAAAAAGTAGAGAAAGCGAAAATAGCTCTCCATAAGAAATTGTGGAAACAGTACCCAGTGAGAACCGAAAAACGTCTTAACAACCTTGTGTCAGATTATCAAGGACAATCCATGAGACATGAGTCCAAAATAGCTTTCACATAAGTGTTACAGAAATGCCTCAAGCAGCAATCGACCGCCTTTGCAGAAGCTGAAGAGACTGCTCAGTACTGACGCGATGCCCAAAACAGAGCCTGACGAATTGCTATGAAACATACTTGAGTCTTTTACTGCACTGAATAAACCAAATGCTAAAAAGACAAGGAGAACGAAATAATTGCTGATGCTCTGGTATAATGAATTTTAAACTGCACATCGCAAGTAGTCAAGGAAAGGCCGCAGAAATAATATCCGTTGCAGTAACTCCCACGACCGACTTTTTATTAACCTCGGCATTAATTAAGTAACTTTTCGTATTATTGTTGAGGAAACGCAAGGTGTTACTTTTATTCTTTATTCACGAATAAGTTGACGTTTTGGCCGATTTCGCCTTTCTCAGAGCCTGGAAAGGTCAAGTTGACAGCAATTTATTCGGCCAAACACCTCCATAACAAAACAGAGAAAACGCTGAATCAAAATTTCAATCACATTGAACACAGCTTTGCACACTCACCGCTTTCTATGAGTCTTCCACTGAGTATGTCGCGTGAAGACCAACCGCACAGAATTCACATGGAAGCGTAATGTGCCCCTCCCATCAGAATAACAGTCTTATATACTGCCCAATATCACGCGTGATGAGGCATTCTTCCCTGCTGTTCATTTTTGGATTTCTGGTTAATCTAGAACGAATCCAGAATCCAGAAGTTTTGCGCGCTTGTGTTCTCGATTCTTGTGCGAGGATAGTGACACGTACTTCAAAGTCCTCCCCGTTATATCTCTGTGTCCTTGCGTGCCTCTGTCTATACATTGGCGAAACGGGCAAACCCCTCTATGCCCGCATAAAAGAACACCTAGCCGGCAAACGTCTATCAAATACCTCACTAGGCACCCATAGGATACAAAAACAGCGGAGACGATTTTGATATAAAAGTCGCTATCGTCGCACAGGACACCAAAATACCTACGCACAAACTTCGTTTGTTCAACAAGAATACGAAGAATATCCGTTGCTGCCGATCCTACCAACACGCTTTTAATGTTTTACTTCCTATTTTCTGCCTACTACAGCTTTTGGAGCAGGGTATTAAGCGAAGTACAACCACAGATATACAGATATACATTTCTGAGATATTTGCAAAACTCCAGACCGCAGGTGTCTGTGGTAGGGATCTAACGCGCTATTACCCTTTCCGGGGGTTAACCCGTTCACCACCACACTTTTTAATATATGTAGTCAACGCTAATATTATTGCTGTGGGCGGCGGATAACGCAGTGGTGGTGATGCCAATCATTACGAGCACGGTGCTGGCTCGACGCCACTTGGGCTCACGAAGCCCCGCTCCGGGGTAGGAAAATTGGTAAATTGGTTGCATGGAGAAAGTCCACCACCTGTATTCCAATGAAAACGCTCTAGCACGGCTATCTCAGGACTCCAGGGAAATAGACTTTATCAGCATTTATCTACATTCATGACGAAAAAAAAATCCTGAAGCAGGAGCCGAACTCAAACGGAAACCTTCGTGGATGATTGATGCGAGGAAATGAATCAAAAGTGCTGGGATCCGCACAGATGTGAAAGATAGCTTGTGTAAATAAATCAATAGACAACAACAAACAACCGTTCCTATACGCTACTTTAACGCTATTTCCCCTCCTAATTATTTGATATTTATCACTTTCTCGAAGATTCCGTTAACAATTAAGATGGCTGCAATGATACTCTCAAAGCAAGAAGAGTGCATAGTTTCCCTTCTGAGCCTGCACATTATCGTATCGACACGGAAACGAATTGAAATAAAAGAAATAACCACTCAACAATTCCCAGGACCGACTTTTTATCAACCTCGGCAACGATTGATAACTCGCTGTTTTTCTTCAGTGGTTACTATACCAACCTCGTGTCTGCTTATTGAAGAAAAACAGCGAACACTCAACGATTGTTCACGGTTTGATAGATGTTGGAAGCATCAGAAAAAAGCGATATCTGGGAAGTTTCTTTTGCTCAACAGCAACAACAATGATTCGTTTCAAGCGCTATAAGACAGAGGGGATCACGTACTACATCTAACAACATTTGACAAAGTGGTAAAACGGAAGCGAAACTCCTAGACACTTCCAAAAGCGGAA